GCTCACGAGGAAGTAGTTCATTGGCCATCGCAACACACACCTAATGTAAACCCATAAAGACGGTTATAACGCTTTGCATGTTCCTCATCAGGCATGGAATCCGGATTTATCACCAACTTCCTCCAGTTCCACGCTTCCGGCGGAAGGTCTACAACTGTCATAAAGTCTTTCACGTAATTGTTACATTGTCGTAGCAATTCGTGAAACCTTCTCAATATGTGTTTCGCTCGATCAAGTTCGGCATCGGATGTACGTGTAGGTAAGTTAAGGAAATCTACCATTTGATCAATCGCATCATCCAAACGTTGAGGATCGTGCAAGTATAGTTGCACAAACTGAGGATGTTCCCCTTTCCTCACAGGCAATGCACCAACACGATGCAAGATTGGACCTTGAGTCTTAAGTTGGCCCTAAATCCTCAAACACCATTGCTCGGCTGCTTAAACCTCGAGGATGAGAGGGATAAACTATTATAATATTGTTAATTATCCTCGCATTGTTTCGAAGGAATCGACCGTCGGAAGTTTGAGACGTCCAATGGAAAAGAATCTCATGCTCCGAGGAACCTTCGCAAGGTCATTCCCATAAAGAACAACGTTTTGTACCTTTTCGACAACACATCTTTGTCCATTTTCTTTCATGATGCCCCAATTTAGCACCACAATGCTTACACGGATCTCGACCGCCGATGCCGAACGGTTCAACATTGCTAGCATTCCCAAGAATCGCTACGGTGTTCTCAACAGCCGCATACGTTGTTGCTACGGGTGCCGATGGGAGTGCATTCAGATCAGGAGCCGGAACATCATGCGAATCATTCATTTCTTTCTCACGACTATTTGGTTCATTGTCTTCACGATTGTTCAATGAATTTTGATTCCTCATGGATGGATTATGCGATTGTCTCGCTCATGATGACAGACTCTGCGAGTGCCTCGCCAGAGAAGATTGACTCCACGATTGTCTCGGAGGAGAAGATGCACTCCTCGATTGCGCAGAGGCGCTCGCTCTAATCTCTCGAAGGATATTCACAGAGAACAAACTTCGCCTCACAACCCGCACAAATTTTTTATGAGCACGCTCATCTTCTTTCCTCTTATGATTCTTAACAACAGCTCTCAATGCACGCATGCGTTTAACATGAAAGTTTTGTCGTCTTCCCTGACTTTTCCTTCGTTTTGAAATCTTACATGATGTCGAACATGGTTCATTAACATTCATTCTATCGACTTGTTCCGTTCCTCCACCAGCCTCTACAATACTTTCAACAACTATTGCACTTCCATCATAGCCCGATGACACATGGTGAGGCATCGACGACAATGATCCAAGTTTCAAACGACGCACGACTTCATTGGCACACAGTCGTTGAATCAACAACATACGGTACCGCCTGTTATACTTTGAACAAATCAGTTTCCATAATTATAATCTTCTCCGTCGATTATGAAATTCAATAAACTTTCTAATCAATGTGTTCGGCGAATTCGGTTGGGCCGTGGCAACAAAAGATGGATGTGCATGAACATTTGTCAAAGTGGGAGAAAAGTTGCTCTCCACACATTTTTGTCGGACATCGGCAGTCAATGTCGACGATGAACAATTGTGCACATGTGCCGAGTGCAAGGGAAAATCATCGAGTAAAACCGATCTTTCGACCATCGAAACGGAATGTGCATTTATTGCAACATCCGTAGAAATTTCAAGTGGACGTTCACTTTACAAGGTCATAGAAAGATTTTCATGACAACTAATACGATCCGTACGAACATTGATATTTCCTTGACTTGTTCTTTGGAAAAACACAGGGCTTGTGAAATCATTCATCGGTGGAATCGTTTGTCGAAAAGATAGAGACCTATCACTATATTGTTCTTCGTGAGAACAATCAGGACCATCATCTTGAGTTACCATCGGTTGTTTATCTCTCCTGGGAGCAATCCCCTCACCTACAACACCTATCGCCTATTGTAAAGACCTTCGGGTTCGACGACTTTGGGAAAGTGGTCGTCCGCATTTGTGGTGTTCGTGTTGTGATGACATCGATGTCCCACTCGCAGAGCGACCAGGAGTAATATCCGAACCTATACGCAATCCCAATCCATGGTTGGATGAGGAAGAAGGGCGGTCTAACGAAGACAAACCGACTTGACCTGGAACAACGGAAGGACACCGAGTACACTCTGATACTATCGGCGAAGACACCAAAGGATCCTTAACAACCCTTTCATAATGACGAAGGTCTTTGCGACGCTTCCACGGAACATGCAAGGACCTATCCGCAGGTGAAGAGAAGGTTGAAACCATGAATAAATTATTGTTGGTTGAATCGTTATGTTGACCTTGGTCCTCTGCCATTTTAATGGGTACGTACGTACGTATTTGTACATGGGCACGTCATGACGGATAGGAGGAATAAGATGCATATAGACAATTGGAAGGAAAAACACACACCTCAAAACATCCGTACATAGATGTAATTATATGAAGAAGAGTAATATAGTGTCAAATATAAAAGAAATAAAACAGGAAAAACAAAAAAGATATAGTGCAACACATAGAACGCAGCCGAAATGAAGAACACAGAAGATCGAAGAAAATAAGGAGTCAGTTCGTTTTGTTTTGTTTTTTTAGCGCGTCTATCGAGGTTAATCAATGTTAATTCGTATCATAATTTTTTTGTCCATGCAAATATAGATGCATAGGTCCACTTTTATATTTGTGCAAACGTTTAATCGGGACCGAAACTTCTTTGGACTCCTATTGAGGTTGAATAAGACGCCTCATATTTTGTTGCTATGCCTCATTCGGTTCTTATGTTGGATTTGTGATCCTATACGCCCCTTAGTCTTTTCAGGGCCCCATGCGATAGCGTCATACGTACCTCGTTTGTCCACGTTTGCCTTTTGTCATTCTCTGGCAGGGCTCACTTTCGTGTTCGGATAAATTTGTTACTGGGATCATAACTTCTTTTGGCTCCGATCCACATTAATCGAGGCGGCTCCTACTTGCAGTCAGCCTTAGGTATCCTAAGTCAGTCATCCGTCCACAAAAGATTTGAAGAAGGTAAAATGTCTTCGCTGACCTTTCCGAGCCCCGATTGCTAGGAAGTACTCCGTAGTACCCATTCTCCTCGCCTGAGTATGAGGCTCAAATCTAAGAAGGAGGCGTTGGCTCCACCACAACAACATTACAATACCCCCATAAATGGGCTTATGCGGCATGCCGCACCTCTCCCCTGCCAGCCTCGAAGGTCGTGGATCCAGAAAGAGTCGTTCCTAGCGATCGAGGTCGGGCAAACCGTTGATGGCCTCACCTTTCTTCTTCTTTTTTGCTTGGGCGACTTTGATGAGATAGCAGCAAAGGGGGTAGAGAGCATGACTTTTTGAAACGGGTCTAGGCGAGAGTAGGTCATTCGGGATAGCACGGGTGCCTTGGGAAAAAGACTACGTTTATTGCCAACTTTATTCCTTCTTATCGGTTTGGTTCCTTCTCCAATATTCATTCGAAATACATAGTGTGACCCCCCCTCCCAATAACACTTAATTTGCTTCACATAAGCGCATGAGTATTTTCAGCGCCCTATGTAGACCAATCATACGTACCTTAATTGTTATCGAGCATGTTTTGCTTTCCTTCGATACCATTTACTGGAAGACGACCTAAGTTTATTGTTGTCTTTTTAATTTACTATCGAGACTCTTCCTTTCTAATTATTCATAAAATTTACATTATAACATCACAGAACATTTAAACCTACATTTTTTTCTTCTTCAAACTTTTTACTCATCTTAACTGGTTTTGAAGATTATCTCATGTCTATATTTTGAGGGATACTCACCTGGTTGTTTTTTAAGAATAAGCAGAATAGTATAAGAATGAACATACAAAACCATACAATATTGAAGAACAGAATTGAACGAATGTTAGCAACTAAGCATTAATATCATCTCCATAACCATGAACACGTAAAACGCGAGATCACATACCAACAAACGACCAAGGTAACTTTTATTTGTATATATCAATAATATTTTCTTTCAATTCCATGAATAGTTCTCAAAAAAAAAAATGCCAAAAAAAAAAAAAGGGAAAGAGAGAGAAACGACTTAAATAAGAGAGAGAGAGAGAGAGAGAGAGAGAGAGAGAGGCAGACAGCGGCTACACACTCTGAATGGGAAGCACAAAAATGTCCGAGAGTTACACACAAAAGGAAACCTCAGAGTCTGCATAAAACCAATGCGAAAGATACTCCGAAAGATTTCAACAAGATCATCCATGCTCTTGCTTCCCTCGAACACCAAAGCATACTCTCCTCAAAATGTAGGCAAAGCAGAGTCCTTCAACCAGTTTCATCCGCCCACTTAGCGGAATCGTCAGGAAGGTGCATTCTCATGAATGCTTCTGCCAGAAAGAGAGGAGGTGAGCCTTGCCTCCCTGTGTTATATCTGCGTTGTGAGCTCATCGGACTGACACTACCTCGGTACCGTGTTCTTCGTACACCGACTGGAACTCTCTACCAGATCCCTATACCCTCGCGTAGTGCGAAAAATTCTAAAATTCTAAAATTTTAAAATTTTAAAATTTTAAAATTCTAAAATTCTAAAATTCTAAAACTCTAAAATTCCTAAAAATCGATTCAAGCGCATGATCATGGACGTATGCCAAATTTATCCTATCGAATCTTGCTTTGTAGAAAAGCGTGAATCTCTGGAACCCAAAATTGTCGAAAATCTGCCATCAAAACATCCTACATATATCCGGAAGCGTCAGCCTCCGGTACCTGCCAGGCCCGTACGCATGTCTCTGAGGCCCCCGGAATCCAGTGAATTTCCTTGTCATCATTTATGACATTCCGTATGTACCCATTCCGTAGTTGTCCGTTCCTCCACCGAGAGCAGGTGTCATTTCGTGTGACCGGGAATACAATTTCCCGCCGATTCCTTGCGTGCCGTAGTGAAAGTCAAACATAATAAGCGTAACAAACTTTCCCCCGTAACCTTGGCTAATTTAGCCAAGATCCCGAGAGATACCTCTGGGGTATATCCTCGGAGGATGCTTTCCACCACCACGTATGCCACTACGCTAATGCTTAGCGCCTTCGAAGTAGACGTGTGCCATAGCCTTTTCAATGTGGCGAAAACTACCGCCTTCTTAGCCTTCTTGTCCGAATAGCTGTCATAGTCTTGCACGGTCTGGTACTTCAGCTTTCCTGAGGTACGCAACGTCGTCGTGTTCTTGGTTTCTTGTGTGTAATACAGCTGCACCGGGTTATCCAACACGTACATCCTACCTCCGACAAACGACCAAGTGTTGGCACCTTCATCTTTGCGTTCAAGCTTCAGTTTGCAATCATAGGTCTCTTCGAAGAGCTCAAGTATTTGCCCAGCTCTTTCCCATGACCGTTCGTCATTCTTGGATCCCACCATGATGGAAATATCATCCACCATCCTCCAGCCATGCATCAGTGTTCTGTCCGAACCCAGTGACAGGAGAAAACGTATTTTGGCCATCGCACAAGAAGTGGTCGCCAGAACCGGGCTTGTGGTCCTTCCCATAGGAATTCCCATGGTCTGCCTCTTAACCAGATCTCCGCACACCATGTATCCGTGATCTAGATCGTATTTGACGAGGCTCATGATTGTCTGGAACTTAACCGAGACATATCTAGGCGTCCTAGTGTTCGTACGCAAGAGCATACATGTCTTCCCCCTGACAGCTACCCGTACCTGCCTCCCACCTTCTTCTTCGAAATGTTGCACCAGCTCGAAGACCGCCTCCATAACTGTCGAGTGTGATATTGAGGAAAACATTTCCTTAATATCGTAGCACCGCCCAATGGCCATGTTGCACCCCAACCCTGTCAAAGGCTCTCCCGTGCTCTCAAGCTCACCTACCATACTGCGTGTGGCATTGAGATGGAATTTCGCCTTCTTAGAAAACCGTGTGATAAGACAGTACAGCGCTCTGGCACATCTCCGTAGCCCAACGATTCCTGGATCTCCACAGGCTGGTGCGATTAGTCTTTAGCGCTGCAGGTCTCTGTCCTTGGGAATAATATATGATTTCCCCAAATTTCTGTAAGGCTTCCAACTGCCTACTTCCTGCAGTCCAGTTCGAGTGTAGTCGATCTTGCATATCTTAATAATCTCCTCCTCCGTTTTTCCAATGTTCTCATACTCTGAATTCCATATAAACATCTTACCGAACGCGTGTCTGAATAACACAGGACAGATAATCCGAGTGTCTCCCGCATTCCTATCTAGCGGTGTCATAACCAACCCATCAAATTGAGTCGCCATTGCTGCCCAATCCTTCACCTGTTCATCGGTCCATGCGGCTTCGGTACTGTTGTACGCTGTGTAATACCTGCCAACATCGAGATCTTCCAGCTATTACCTTTCAGATGTGCAGTTGTCGTTAGTATGCTATCCTTCAACACGGCCGCCCCACTACTGATGCTTGGTCTCGTAATGCTTTTTGCATTTCGCACAAACTTTGGTACATCCTCCGAGTCTGTCTGTCTTGTCAGTACGTGTCCGTCATGCTTAGCTAGACCAAACCTTTCGCACATGCATACCACGTCCTGTGTATTTGCATACCTTCTATGGTTGTGCACTATCTCGCCTGCATTCTTGTTCCTCGTATTCACGATCCTAGTCTTCCTTTTAACAAACGTAGCTACTGCTTCATCCGTCGTCTTCCTTTCCACAACTGACTCTGTCAATCGTCTCACCTCCTTCTTCACTATCTCGGAGCAATACGGATATTTCACCGTTACTTTTCTCCTCACGCTCACACCTGTTTTCCGTCTTAGTACTCGGTCAATCTTGAACTTCAACGTATTCCTGGTAGTCTTCTTCCCGAACAGTCCAGTCGTCCTGTACAACCCGATTAGTTTCGTGGAGGTGTACCTAGCTAACGTGGCCACCGCCCAAGATTGCTTCAGCATTCTTTGGAGCAGACTCTTGTTGCGCTCTGTAGTCGTAGCCATCTTGACGATCTTGGTGAAAGTGATCTCTCCTCCAACCTGACATAATCTCTTCGCTCGTCGAAGTTCCAGAATCTTCCCCTTAATCTTGACCTTTATCTCCCCAAACTTCGACCGTATCTGCCTCCATCCATCTGCCCAATGTTGCCCTGCCGAGAAGTCCGCATCGATCTTCCCTTCATGTCCGTACTGCTCATCCTACCAATTAAGCAGAGATGTACGTTTCCCTTCCTTAGTGACTAAGGTGGCCAATGTTTTCCCAACTGTCCCCTTCCCATTCCTCTTCCACTCTCTCCGCCCTTTACGTTTTCTGGTTCTGAAAACCTGCGGCCTCGCGGTGCAGAGAGTGTTGAGGCTAGGTGACATATCTCTGATCAGATGCTGCTCGAAGGCAAAATCATCGTCTTTCGTCGTATGCCTAATAGGAATGACCACGAACTTGTCTGGTCCGAAAGTCCTCATCCATCTGTATAGCTGCGGTGACTTTCCAAGCGCCTTGGAATTTGCAGCTATCAGATGTTGCCTCCACCTATGTATAATCGATCGAGATGTACACCCGACGTACACCCGCTTCGCCCATGGGCTAGCCACAATATATGTCCCTCCCGTCCCCAGATCCAGAGTTTCATCGTCCAGTTCCATCTTATCCAAATACTTCGCCAACCAGTGTACTTCCCCTCTGAGCCCGAGAAGTATCACCGTCGCAGAGATAGCTCTTTCCACCATCGTTACCTTCTCGCCCGTAGTTCCCTGCCCCCTAAGGGATTGCCGATGGCTCATCAGCCTCCGAAGAGTAGCCAAGAGCTCCTCGGTACTAAGGGGCGCCGCTAGTCAATCCGCTTGTTACTGTTGGGCTGGAGCCGATTGTAGAATAACCCTTGGTGTTGCCGACCTCTTGAGAATTCCCCTTGTCCTTATTGTTGCTCCCGTCGGCGGTGTCTTCTCGCCTTCATCCTCCCTTCCAGTCTTATGTGTCGGTGTAGCGAAGAAACCCTCGTACGCGCGTTCAGTCTGTCTTTTCACCAATTCCGACACCATTGCGTCCTTCTTAGAATGGCGGATCCCCTGCTTCTTACAAATTTCTTTCAGTTCGAAAACCGTATTCTTCGAGTACTCCTTCATAGTTGACAATGTGAAGTCGACCATGCCTTGCTGAGAGCATTCCGCTGCGATTCCCTTGTATCCGCCCGAGAAAGGTGTCTTTTCCATGCTATTCGCGATGTTGATTGGTGTCGGTGACCTCTCCGTCTTCCTCGAGCATTCTCCCTTCTCATACGTTGTCTGTGATCGTCTCTCCTTCTTCTCCCCTTTCACATGCTTTTCCCTTTGGCCTTCCTTCGTAGCTTCTCTTGTCTTACAACCCGTACGATCCTCCTTGTTTCTTCATCTGTGTCGTCACTCGCTTCCTCAAACTTGTTGTCTTCATCTCCACTTGTCTCCTCAGTAGTAGTTGAATCGATGCTCCTCCAAGTGCTCTTCTTCTTCCTCGTAGTCCGTCCCGAACTTCGTTTCTTGTCCTTAGAAATCGTCTTACTCTTTGGGGAAACCTTCGGTGATGCTTGCTTCGAAACCTCTTTTTGAACCTCCTTCACCTTTTGTTCAGCTTCCTGTACTTGCTTTCTCCATCTCTCTGCGATATTGGCCTCAAGCTGAAGCTTCATTTCTTCGGTCCTCCTTGCAATATCTAATTCTGTCTTCTTCTCTTCCGCCTCCTTCAGCCTTTGTTGCTCCTCTTTCTCTTTCTTTTTCTGTTCCATCTCCCTCTCCTTCATCATCTCTCTTACAAAATACCCAACTTCATCCTCCTGCTGACTAAACCTCCCTTTTCGTGACCAGCAATCACGCGCGATATGACCCACTTTCCCACATTGGTAACACTCCAAACCACCCCTTCCTCCATTCCCATTCCCAGCATACCCACCCATACCTCCATTGTTCGAATTGTCGTTGTTCATATTCCCATTATTCATACCACCGTTTCCTCCGTCGTACATTCTCACCTATCAATCTAGCAGACCTTTAGTCTAACCAGATACCGTATAGTCTTCTTAGCTTTATCTAAATCCCGTTCGTATTCCTACATCCCCTTGCTCATTCAGACATACACAATCAGAGTATCCTTAACCTACCTCTCTACAAACTGTCGTATCCTCACTTTTGTCCTGCTTGTCTAATACCTCGATCTGGACAGGTAATGCACAGACAAACCTAGTCGCACCTTCTATGAGCCAATCTTAGTCTCGTCTACCTCTACACCGACTAAAGCAAACATAACCACCGTCAAGCTCATTAAATCCCTGTTACTATGGTCCCAAGAGTGGCAGACAGCGACTACACAGTCTGTATGGGAAACACAAAGATGTCCGAGAGTTACACACAAAAGGAAACCTCAGAGTCTGCATAAAACCAATACGAAAGATACTCCAAAAGATTTCAACAAGATCATCCATGCCCATGCTTCCCTCGAACACCAAAGCATACTCTCCCCGAAATGTAGGCAAAGTAGAGTCCTTCAACCAGGTTCATCCACCCACTTAGCGGAACCGTCAGGAAGGTGCATTCTCATGAATGCTTCTACCACAAAGAGAGGCTATGAGCCTTGCCTCCCTGTGTTATATCTGCGTTGTGAGCTCATCGGACCGACACTACCTCACTACCGTGTTCTTCGTACACCGGCTGGAACTTTCTACCAGCTCCCTATCCCCGCCCGTAGTGCGAAAAATTCTAAAATTCTAAAATTCTAAAACTCTAAAACTCTAAAATTCCTCAAAACCGATTCAAACGCATCATGAGCATATGTCAAAATTTATCCTACCGAATCTTCCTCCGCAGAAAAGTGTGAATCTTCGAAACCCAAAATTATCGAAAAATCTGCCATCAAAATATCCTACATATATCCAGAAGCGTCAGCCTCCGGTACCTGCCAGGCCCGTACGCATGTCTTTGAGGCCCCCGAAATCCAGTGAATTTCCTTGTCATCATTTATGACGTTCCATATGTACCCGTTTCGTAGTTGTCCGTTCCTCCAGCGAGAGCAGGTGTCTTTTCATGTGACCGGGAATACCATTTCCCGCCGATTCCTTACGTGTCGCAGTGAAAATAAAAAATAATAAGCGTAACAAACTTTCCCCCGTAACCTTGGTTAATTTAGCCAAGGCCCCAAGAGAGAGACACAGACAGACAGACTGAGACGACTTAAATAAGAGAGAAAGAGACAACTTAAATGTGTGTGTGTGTGTGTGTGTGTGTGTGTGTGTGTGTGTGTGTGTGTGTGTGTATGTGTGTGTGAGAGAGAGAGAGAGAGAGAGAGAGAGAGAGAGAGAGAGAGAGAGAAAGACGACTTAAATAAGAGAGAAGAGAGAGACATGATTTAAATAAGGGAAAGAAAAAACAGAATTCAAGAGTCTTATCATAAAACGGTTTCAAGTGTCATCATCATTAATGGAAGAAAAATAATGTCAAATCACACGTTCTTCCTGCCATCCCACTCCACCTCCTCGTTATCCCTCTCACTCTACCTACTCCTACTCATGCATCATCTTCCCCACGAAGCGGCACTCATCTACCTATCTAACAATACATCACACCATGCTCTTATAGTCAAAACAACAAAAAACAATTTTATTGCTTCTATTTATAGCTCATTTCTCCCTTTGCAACTATCGTCATCCTTGCACCCTACATCCTCCGCCTCCTTCCTCTCTTACCTCCTCTTTCACTCTTGTTACTTTTATACCTATCAACGGTGAATTCAACAATCATGAAATGTCACCCTATTCATCTCCCCCTGCCATTTCACAAAGTTGTTTTTCCCCCTGCCAGTTCGCGAAGCCGCTTCCTTTCTTTGCTTAAATACGATTCACTTCATTGTCAATGACAAAGATAAAATTTACTATTCATCTACATCGTCACATCAACGAAGTTGTCTCCTCCTTTCTTCCATTGCAAACCGCTACTGCTCATCAACAATGACATCTCCATCAGGATAAAGGTTTGTCGTCTTGTCTCAGTTGCGTCTAACAACCGTCAAATCATTAATCTTTCTATAGTCCCCACTTCTCACATTGCTTAATAAGCGGCCACACTTAGGACACGGACACCTCAATGCTTCAATCAACGCAAGCACCACCTCATGGAATTTTATCTCATGTTCCTTATTTATGCTTGCGAGAGCATTCAATTCCTTTTTCAGATGCTCCATCTCCTTCTTAAACCGTTTTGGTGAATGAGCATCAATGACATTTGCCAACAAAATTCTCAAAGTGTACAACTGTTCTTTGTAACGTGTCATCATGTCATTCGTGAATCCGTCGTCACATCGATTAGAAAAATTATCCCTGAACATTAAATCCATTAACTTTTCCCTTGTCTGCTTGTACAAATGTCCAAGCGTGATCACTGTTCCCCTCAACTGACTATCACTTACCGGGAACTTCATCTCATTTTGTACCTCTAAGAGGGCATTCCTGTGTGCCAACTCCGAACCAACATTTCACAATGACTCCAACATAGCAATCAAACGCGCCTTTGGGAGAGAAGGTTAACAACAATCGTATTTTTCATCACCACTTCAGGATGCAGCCTGCCTAAACAGGTGGTTTTTAGGGTCTTCGGACCTTTCACCACTTCAGGACCATTCAGGTCTGAAAATCCAAAATGGTGATGAAGTGGTGAAAGCTCCGAAGACCTTGAAAACCACCTGTTTAGGCAGGCTGCATCCTCAAGTTGTGAAGGGTGGTTTTCATGGTCTTCGGATCTTTCACCACTTCAGAACCATTCAAGATTTTCATACTACCCAAAACTCTCACTTGACCACTTCAGGACACCCTTCACCACTTCAGGATGCAACCTGCCTAAACAAGTGGTTTTCAGGGTCTTTGGACCTTTCACCATTTCAGGACCATTCAGGATTTTCAGACTGCCCAAGACTGTCACTTCAGAATTTTCATTCCTGAATTTTCAGTTACCCAATAACCGCTTGTGACCTTTGGAAGGTCTACCAAAGTTGCAATCAATGGAATCTCAAATACCTCCGAGGCAAAAGAAAAATCAATCGATGGTAATGAACCTACCAACAATATTTTTCTTATCCCACTCTCGGCTTCTACTAATCGCCGACGCAAATCATCACACTCTTGCAACAGATGTGGGTCAACTCTAGCACTAAGCTTACAAACTTCGTCTAACAAATCGTTTCTAATGGACGATTGAATTAAACGCTTAAACTCTCTGTCCATGTCCTCAGCAGCATCCGCCTCCTTCTTCACAATCCCAACACCCGACACAGAGGAATCTCTTACCTCTTCACTTTGTTTCGATGAAACTTTCAACCACTAACCGTGCATTCAACTCAACTTTCATAAATGCATTTCTCAATGTATTCACTTCCTCCTTCTTCTTCAACATCTCTAACAGCTCATCCTGAGTCCATCGAAGGCCTTCATTGTCTGTGAGGTAGCGGTCACATTCCCTCCTCAACGCAAAATCACTGGGAAACTTACCTTCAACACCATACCGCAGTTTAGACTGAGGTTCATGCAAATCTTGTTCTTTCTCGTGAATCTCATCCGCCTCGCTATACTCGTACCATTCGTTACACTTCTCAATGTACTTATGCTTCAACTGATCTTTAATGAGGGGATGGTCGAATGCATCATCATATGCGGCCTTATCCCAATCACACCGCAATGATCTCTCAACCCCCCTTTCCGTACATCTGTCCACCATCGCGTTGGTTTCACCAGACACTTGTCTGTCTGCAGAAACTACCACGAAAAAAAAAAACGAATGTACCAATAACGAAATTAGACGATAATCTAACCTCTATTAGAATGTAATACTCATTGTCGTATACCAACAGTACTGTTCAAGGCATAAAAGAGGAAATTAACCAATCAATTGATCGGATTGACTGGTTCATGCAGTCACAGAAACAGACACACATACAAACGAAGATAAATCGACAGATGGAGAGAGAGAAAGAGAGGGAAAGAGAGAGAGAGAGAGAGAGAGAGAGAGAGAGAGAGAGAGCAAGAAAAAAAATGTCCAACACCCGTCGAGGCCTCGACTTCGAATTAGAAGCGGGTGTGTGACTCCACACAAGAAAAAGGCTCAATGGCATCAACTTCGTCGAGCCCTCGACTTCGCATTAGGGAAAAAAAAAAAAAAAAAAAAAAAAAACAGCAACCATCTAGCCCCGTCCTACACCCCAACTTGGAGAGCACCTTAGGCCCGGATCTGGACCTAACATCCAGGGTGCAGGCCCAATCTGGGCCTATTCACGGCCTGGCTTGCACCCGGGGCTGGTCAGCTGGTCACCCTTGGGCGTGGTTACCTCTATGCATACCTGGACCCGGCCAGCGATTTAGGCCTGGGCCTGGATCGAACACCCAGTCTGGGCCTATGCATAGCCTGACCTTTGAAAGGGAAGGGGGAAAAAAAAAAAAAAGCACAAAAAAGCCTCTCAGCCTGCACTTGGGCTCGGTTAGCTGCTGAGCCCTGGGCCTGGACCCAACACCCTGGATACAGGCCCACTTTGCGCTTATGCACATGTCCAGGACTGGGCTTTGAGAACAGGCCCACGTCCTGGCGTAGACCCAGCTAAACCTGAGAACAGGCCCAGGTCCATGCTCAGGTCGACTATGGTGGATGGATGCAGAAGGTGGAGGAGGAAGGAGTTCATGTCTGCCTGGGCCCCGACAGCGGCTTAGGCCTGGACCAAACACCCAACATTCAGGCCCAATTTGGGCTTATGTACGGGTCCAGGCCTGGCTTTGAATATAAGGGAAGAAAAAAAAAACAGCAAGAAAAAGGTCCAGATTGATTATAATTGATTGATTGATTGATTGATTGATTTAAACAAAAAATAAATCAACCAAGCAGTCAGTAGATAAAATTGCCTGCATATTTGCATGCGTGTTTGCCTGTGTGTCTACTTCTTTGTGTGCCTATCTGCCTGTCTGCCTCTGAGTCTCCCCGCCTGTCTGTCTGCCTGCCTGTCTGCCTGCATACATGTGTGTCTGC